GTCCCTCATCTTCAGACGAGCGTCCAAGCCTAATCCATCATCGGATCGGCTCCGCCATCCTTCATGTTCAGTCCGGCATCATCAGCTTGCCCTTCATCACATCACAACCGGTCCCTCAGCCTCGGCGTGATTATTTATCTCAAGATCGGCCTCCTCAGTGCCGAGAGTCTTGAGCTAGCGATTGGGCTAGCCATCCCTTCCTGGATGGTGACCATCGCCTCTATATGATGACCGGCTCATCATCGCCCCGTCATTATATTATCGGATCGGCTTCTCAGCATCGCCATCCGGACATCACGACCGGCCCCTCGGCCTCGACGTGATTACTTATCTCAAGACCGGCTTCCCCATCGCCGAGAGTCTTGAACTAGCGATCGGGCTCGCCGTCCTTTCCTGGACGGTGACCATCGCCTCTATATGACGGTTGGCTCATCATCTCCCCGTCATCATATTATAGGACCGGCTCCTCATCGCCATCGTCCTCACATCACGCCCGGCCCCTCGGCCTCGGCGTGATTATCTATCTCAAGATCGGCTTCCTCAGCGCCGAGAGTCTTGAGCTAGCGATTGGGCTCGCTATTCCCCTCATGGATAAGCGGCTGTCGCCTTTATATCACGATTGTTCCTTCATGGCCTCGTCATCATTTATTGGAACGGCTCATCACCGCCGTCATCCTCACATCGCGGCAGACCCCTCGGTCTTAACACGATCTTTTATATCGACACGGCAGACCCCTCGGTCTTAGCATGATCATCATACTCTGAAGACCGCCCTCATCCTCTCACTTTACGGATAAGGACCGCTACATGGATTATCAGATCGGCTTCTCAGTATCGCCATCCGGACATCACGACCGGCCCCTCGGCCTCGGCGTGATTATCTATCTCAAGACCGGCTTCCTCAGCGCCGAGAGTCTTGAGCCAGCGATCAGGCTCGCCATCCCTTCCCGGATGGTGACCATCGCCTCTATATGATGGCCGGCTCATCATCGCCCCGTCATCATATTTCGGATTGGCTCCTTCTCATCGCCATCCGAACATCACGATCGGCCTATCGGCCTCGATGTGATTACTTATCTCGAGACCGGTCTGAGTCATTCCTTTACCGGATGGCAACCGTTGCATGGATTGTAGGACCGGCTCCTCATCGCCGTCGTCGTCACATCACGCCCGGCCCCTAGGCCTCGGTGTGATTATCTATCTCAAGACCGGCTTCCTCAGTTCCGAGAGTCTTGAGCTAGCGATCGGGCTCACCATCCCTTCCTGGATGGTGACCGTCGCCTTTATATGAAGATTGGCCCATCATGGCCTCGTCATCATTTATTGGAACGGCTCATCATCACTGTCATCCTCACATCTCGGCAGACCCCTCGGTCTCAACGCGATCTTGAGCTAGCGATTGGGCTCGCCATCCCTTCCTAGATGGTGACCATCGCCTCTATATGACGGTCGGCTCATCATTGCCCCGTCATCATATTTCGGATTGGCTCCTTTCATCGCCATCCGCGCATCGCGACCGGCCCCTCGGCCTCGGCGTGACTATCTATCTCAAGACCGGCTTCCTTAGCGCCGAGAGTCTTGAGCTAGTGATCGGGCTCGCCATCCCTTCCTGGATGGTGACCACCGCCCTTATATGACGATCGGCTTCATTCTTGCCTCGTCATCATATTATCGGATCGGCTCATCATCGCCGTCTGCACATCACGACCGGCCCCTCAGCCTCGGCGTGATTATCTATCCCCAAGACCGGTCTCAGTCATTCCTTCACCGGATGGCGACCATTGCTTGGACTTTTGGATCATCCTCATAGTGCTGACGACCTCGCTTCACGACCGGCCCCTCGGCCACGACGTGACGCCCTATCTCAACACCGGCTTCATCAGCGCCGAGTGTGTTTGGCTAGCGATGAGGCTCGCCATCGCCTCCTGGATGGTGATTATCGCCTCTATATGACGATCGACTTCATCATCGCCTCGACATCATATTTCGGATTGGCTCCTTTCATCGCCATCCGCGCATCACGACTGGCCCCTCGGCCTCGGCGTGACTATCTATCTCAAGACCGGCTTCCTCAGCGCTGAGAGTCTTGAGCTAGCGATTGGGATCGCCATCCCTTCCTGGATGGTGACCATCGCCCTTATATGACGATCGGCTTCATTGTTGCCTCATCATCATATTATCGGATCCGCTCATCATTGCCATTCGCACATCGCGATCAGCCTCTCTCGGCCTCGACGTGATTATTTATCTCAAGACCGGCTCCCAGCGCCGAAGTCTTGTTATAGCGATTGGGCTCGCCATCCCTTCCCGGACGGTGATCGTCGCCCCTATATGACGCACGGCTTATCATTGCCTCGTCCTCATATTCGGACCGGCTCACCAGCGCCATCGTCCCCATATTCGGACCGGCTCCTCAACATTGTCGTCCTCATGTTCGGACCGACTCATCAGCGTCGTCGTCCTCATATCCAGATAGGCGTCCACCGCCTCGTCCCCCTGTTCAGATATAGCGAACGTCTTGCGGCCCCCGGCTAAAAAGCTAAAGGAGCCCAGAGTTCAGTCATAGGCCATCAGCCATATATCGCTCTGACATCTTTATTTGATGACGAAGAGCTCATCTACAGGTCCATCGGCCATATATCGTTCTGTCATCTTTATTTGATGACGAGGAACTCATTTGTAGGCCTCTGAGCCATATCTCGCTCTGTCATCTTTATTTGATGACGCGAAGCTCATTTGCAGGCTCCTCGGCCACACATCGCCCCGTCGTCTTTATTTGACGACGTGGAGCTCTTATGCAGGCCCCTCGACCGCACCATCGCCCCGTCGTCTTTATTTGACGACGTGGAGCTCTTATGCAGGCCCCTCGGCCACCCATCGCCCCATCGTCTTTATTTGACGACGTGGAGCTCTTATGCAGGTCCCTCGGCCATACATCGCCCTGTCGTCTTTATTTGACGACGTGGAGCTCTATGCAGGCCCCTCGGCCATACATCGCCTCGTCGTCCTTATTCGACAACGTGGAGCTCTCGTACAGGCCTCTCAGCCATTAGCCTCCCAGTCATCTTTATTTGATGACATGGAGCTCATATCGGCCCATCGGCCTTACGTTCTGGTCATCTTTATTTGATGAACCAGACATCATATTGTGGACGGTCGCCCAACCCATCCCTTAGTCATCTTTATTTGATGACTAGGACTACTGATCATGATGAGCTACCCACATCTAGAGATCGGCCTCGGCCATCCCCCCAACAGACGGGCACCGCTGCATCTCCATCTCCAAGCCGAAGGGCTCGCACCTTTTGTTTCGTTTTGGGGGTATCCGGTGTACTCTTTTTCCCTCATTAGGATTTTTTCCCATAGGGTTTTTCCTATTGAGGTTTTCAACGAGGCATCTCCCCATCGTGGATCAAAAGGTGTCAACCCTCGGCCCCCTATTGAAGACATCATCCGACACGCATTACTCTACTCCTCTTCACCTCATTACACTCGCCTCAAGGAGTGGGGGAGTGGAAGAGCGGGGGACTTAGCACCTCCACAATGGAAAAGAAGCAGAAATTCAAATTTTTTGTTCACGAAGTTTACTCACCAGACGACGACAGATCATCACACAATTCTACTCTCTTTCGCCTCGAATACTCTCGACTCAGAGAGTGGGGGACTCCTGATAGAGTATATAGACTCGGACCCCCGGGTCTCACGACTATTGGACCCGGACAGCGGCCCACATACGCTCAGTAGATAGCATTTATTTCATTGTACACTCTATTTTATTCTTGTATACCCGTTAGAATAGATTAAATACCATTTGTTAGCCATTTATTGGCCTTTTATTGTAACTGGGCCTTCCAGGCCCAAGCCTGGAGGCCCAACCCACTTTTCTCCTATAAATACTCCCTATGGGAGTATTTGTAAAGGGTTGGAAATTCATTATATATATCACTTTATCTCTCTAGCTCTCCCTTCTCTCTAGGAGTTAATACTCCATCAGTGTAGAGCAAAATTTTTCTCAAGTACTGGGTTGGAAAGAAGTGTCTTCACTATCATTGCATTACTATTCTATAATTACTTTTACACCGTTTTCCTAAAGTGAAATACCTGCTTCAGTTTATGACTATAACTCTTTTGTAATGATATTTTAATTATTATAAGTAGTTGAAATTCTAGCATTTAGAAAATTGAGCTAATAATATTGAACTGATATCAAATACTAACACTATAAAAAATACGGAGTAACATTTTCAGTTTGTATTGGTCACAGATTTGCAAAGATTTTTGGCATTGCTCCCATACACTTTTTCACGATGAAATGACTTTCACGTGGATTCATGAATCATTATCGAATTCATTTCAAAGTTCCTATCAAACCCATTTTTTCATAAAAATTAGTATGTAGAAACAAATTTATGCCTATTCAGGATAAAGACTTTCAAACATGTTGTTATTTGCATTATAATATATGATGACATTAATATACAAAATCATATACGAAGTATTAAAAAAACATAGTTGTGTGAAAGACATCAGAGATAATAAACCTGGATTGAACTTTCTTCTTGGATGAGGGTACTATAACATTTCTCTTTTTTTGCAAGCTAGAAGTGTTATATTTCGAACAAGTAAACTATGTTGAAGACGTGTATGGTAGGACACAAATTTAGTTTTAAACCGAAACTCAAATGTTAGTCTTTATAGAGTAAAATTTATAGAGTAAACTCAAATTTAGTAAAACCCATGAGCCCCATACCCGACCCAAAAGGATTTTTGTAGCCTGAGTTGTAGCCTTGATTTTGTTTTGTCTCTAAAAAAGGTCAATATTCTATTTTTTACCAATAAAAAGGGTCAATGTTCGTGTTTAGAAAAATTAGAATCATCGAATTTGTTTGAAAATCTAAAATTAGTTATAATTGAGTTTGAGTTAAAATTCTTTAATTTGAACCTTGAACTTAATAAACCAGCGTTTGATGAAAGTTTGAACTAAGGATTAGCGGGTGGTTGGGAGGCCCGCACGTACGAGTTCTGCAAAGTAAGCAGCGTCAACGCCCGGCCAGCCTATAACCCCTCCATAAATTCTTGCGCCACTTACAAAGGACGCGGCAACCGGCTCTCACCGTTTGCTTTGTTTTCCTTACTCATTAGTTTAAGGCAATTTACTACTTCCCAGACTCCTTTAATTTATACGCTTTTCCCATCACCACCCCCCTTCTCTTTTCCGGTGTGGGAATCGTATTATGCATATGCACCTCCTTAAACTGCTAACCCTTACACTTCACAACGGTAGAAAAGAGTCTGAATCAGGGGAACCCTGTGATGGAAAGGGAAAATCTAGTGGAAAGAGACAACAAGAATCGAACCTGTCATCACTCAAACCACCGATGTGATGACGAGCAACGATGCAGGTCAGAAAATCGCCACCACCAACATTTAGAAGAGGATTCATTTGATCGGGAGAGATCAATTGAGTGGTCGAGGAGCGAGTGAGACGGAAGCCGAGACAGGAGGGAGTAGTCTCATGATTTATATATGCTTGAGAGATCGCAAGACAGGGAAAATAGGAGAGATGTTTCGGTAGAGGCTGCACAGTAAGAGGAAAGAGAGAGGAGTTAATGAAGACAAAAATGATGGAGCTGGGAAGAGAGTTAGGGTTTCAGAGGGAAGGCTTGAGAATGGAAAGGAGAATGAAGAGACTGGAGAGGAGGAGCTTTGAGGACAATAATGTGAAGGTTAAAGAAGCCACTCATGAGAAGATAGGAAAGAAGAGATTTGTGGATAAATTGAAAGAAGGGAATGCTAGGGCTGATGAGGAAAGGGAATTCCTACAAAGAACTCTCAGGAAGGAGGAGTCGATAAAGAGATGGGGGGGGGGGGGGGGGGGGGTTATCGTCCTGTCCCAGAGAATCTGCAAACTTGATTGAATGAGCGATACGTGTGATAAACAGGGGGAGTTGGAAACTATCCATGATCCTCACCTTAAGGAAGGAGTAAAACCCGAGTCTTTACAGAACTTTGAGGAGGCAGTTGGAAAATGCTTGGCGGAAAGTGGGATTGATTGGCCCACAGTCGGGGAGGTCACCGAGGTCCTATGGAACTTGGAGTGTCCTTCAGCTTAATGGAAAATAATATAGAAGAACTGGAGGTGGTATCCCGGATCCGAAAACCAACACTTCTACAACTCAGTTCAAGTTTGAAAGTATGAGTGATCATAAAGGTGTTTCTATGGGTAAAGGCTGAAATGAAACACTTGAATGTCAAGATATAAGAAGCCTTTGAGGTTGCCTGCACAGAAAATAGATATGTGTTTGTGTGTATATAGATTTTGTTTGGTTGAAAGCAGTGATGCAATTTGTATACTCTGATAACATGCTGTAATACACAATTATCTTCTAACAAATATTGCATATGTTGCATGACTGTTATGATGTTAATATGTTATTACACCTCAAGTTTACCTTTGATCTTAGTTGAGTATATTATTGGATAGTTTTGGTTCCTGTATTCACTAAGCTTTCATTCTTGGACAATACTCTCTAGTAGACATCCTTCTTTTGGAAAATATTTACCTGTATACATGGATGTTGGATTATTTCCTTCCTACCCCCTATAAATTCAATTTCAACAATAGGCATTAATTTTGTATCACTTTAAAATTTAAATCCAGCAGAACAAAATAAATACTATAGTTTTTATATTAAAATTTTAAAGAGCGATATTTAGATAGCAAGCTATTGAATAGCTTGAAACAAATAAATTTGTAATAGCTCTAACTCCTCTAAGCAAACAAACCCGTTGTGTAATTATCTGGTTAGTGCTTTTGAATCAATAGAAATGAAATTGGGCTGAACAAAAATATCAAAGTAAATTCATTCAATTTTAACAAATGTCGTCGATCAGAACATACAACTAAAAAAGAACATACAGAGTGTGATACACCCAAAGAAACTGACAAGGGAAACCATGGAAAAACAGTTAGCACTCGGGCCAGGAAACTCCCTGCACGTTTTGCTGATTTCATCATGCCTTAATTTTAGTTTAATCTTTCATGTTTTATCTCCTATAATTTAGCTAGTACGTGGGATTGTTGTTTAGTTCGTGTCTTGCTGCCCATATAATATGCCAGTATATATCTCTGTTAGTAGAACATATTTGGTATGACTAGTAATTAATTCCTGAAATTCTACATTCTTCTCTATTTGTTCCCTTGGGAGTTTATCCTTGACTCGAACTAAGGATCTGCTGTACAACTACGTTGTATCACTGGTGCTTTCATTGAGAGAACCAACCATGGTGAGGACATCCGACACACCCTTTGATCTAAATTCGCTGCAGCAAATGCTTGACAGATTTCAAAATCAAATCTGTGAGCAAATGGCATCCCAGGAATCACGAATTCAATGCCAACTGGGAGAACAGATAACTTCCCTCACAGCAACCATGGAGGCACGATTGCAGAGTATCCGAGGGAGGGAGCAGACCTTCGATACCCCGGGGAGGCCCCCTGACGGCTTCACGATAGGAGAATCAAGTTCTCCGCTTCGTTCCGACCCATCTGACCCACCTTATACCGGACATCCATTGCCTCGCCCTTCTACCATGCGGCTTGACATACCCAAATTCGACGGAGAAGAGCCGCAACAATGGATATTCAGCATTCAAGAATATTTTGATTTCCACAGAACCCCAGAAGACCAGAGGCTACAAATAGCAGGCTTTTGCTTAGAGAAGGATGCCGCTGAATGGTATCGTTGGACAAAACGCAACAACCTCATATATGGGTGGCACGATTTCTTAGAAAAGATACAACAACGGTTCGGTACCCAACACTTTGAAGATCACCGAGCCGAATTGGCGAAATTAACACAGAAGGGGACGGTGGCAGAGTTCCAAACTGAATTTGAACGGCTCATGAACAATGTAACCGGAATTCCGGAGACCTTGCTGATCTCTTTCTTTGTGGGCGGACTAAAATCCGGGTTGAAACGAGAGTTACTGATTGCCAAACCTCAAACGCTTTTGGAGACCTTTAAGTTGGCTAAGGCATATGAAGCACGACATGATGAAAACCAAAGAGAGTATCGCACTACATCCAAAGTATGGAGTCCCAAGAACGCATCAACTATGCCTGAGACTAGAACATGGAATACTGGAGGTCAAGGGTCCAACGCTGCTCCTAATTCCACTAATTCAAAAGGTATTCTGCCCACACCAACTCTTGTTAATCCACCTATCACTGACAACATTCCAGTAAGAAGGATGAGCGCCACAGAGGTTCAAGCGCGACGAGAGAAGGGTTTGTGCTTCTACTGTGACCAAAAATACTCCCCTGGTCATAAATGTAGGAGTAAATTCAACCTTCTAATTGCTGCACCTGACCACAAAGAGGATGGACTTCAAAGCTCTGAACTAGAACCAGACGGAAATGAAGTGGACGATATAGCAGGGGATATCTCAGCCTTGAACACACTCTCTGGTCATGACAACCCTCGTTCGTTGCGAATTTGGGGAAACATAAACAATCAAAATTTCTTGGTCATGATTGACAGTGGGAGCACTCACAATTTTATCAAGCCATCTACCGTTGAAACACTAAAGTTGCCCGTACACCCAGTTAAACCGTTTAAGGTTTATATTGGCAATGGTGACACGCTTCTATGCCAATATTACTGCCCAAACATTGTTGTGAACTTGCAAGGTTCCCGCTTTGAGATGGATTTGTATGTCCTTTCCATTGCCGGGCCTGATTTGGTCCTAGGCATTCACTGGTTACAAAGTCTGGGAACTGTGGCACATGATTATGCCAACTTAACCATGAAATTCAAACATGAAGGGAAGATGGTTACATTGCGGGGAGAAACTTGCATAGACATTCAACCGATTTCCTTTTCACAGTTAGAAGCTGAGGTTGACTCCAACAACGTTGACTGTGTTTTTGCTATATATCAACTAAGTGGAGAACCTCCCCCCATGACCCCAGACACACCTCAGCCACATCAATTATCTCTTCCTTCTAGTCTGCCAGAGCCATTTAAACAATTGTTGCTTGAATTTTCTGAATTGTTTGATTCCCCTAAATCACTTCCTCCAAAACGGCCCTTCGACCATCGAATATATCTTCTGCCTAACACTGAACCTATCAATGTAAGGCCCTATCGTTACCCTCACTTTCAGAAAAGTGAAATGGAACATCTAGTGAAAGAAATGTTGGCTCAAGGTATCATTCGTCCTAGTCACAGCCCGTTCTCATCCCCGGTATTACTAGTTCGAAAGAAGGACGGAACTTATCGCTTTTGTGTGGACTATCGGGCACTTAATGCTGTTACAATCCGAGACAATTTCCCTATTCCGACAGCAGATGAACTGTTTGATGAACTGGGTGGAGCAACTGTGTTCACTAAACTGGATTTACGAGCAGGATACCACCAGATTCGGGTTCAAGCACGTGACATCCATAAGACAGCCTTTCGCACTCATGATGGACATTATGAGTTCTTGGTTATGCCGTTTGGATTGACTAACGCACCCGCCACCTTCCAAGCAACCATGAATACGGTACTTGCTGCTTTTCGCCGGAAGTTTGTCACTGTTTTCTTTGATGACATTCTTATTTACAGCAAGACACTTGAAGAACATTTGGAGCACCTACACCAGGTCCTTTCATGCTTACTGAGTCACCAATTTTATTTGAAATTAGCCAAATGTGTTTTTTGCCAAGACTCAACAGAGTATCTCGGACACATCATCACCAAAGAAGGGATCCATGTTGACCCAAATAAATTGGAAGCTATTGTATCTTGGCCGACACCAAAAACAGTGCGACAACTTCGAGGCTTTCTCGGGTTAGCAGGATACTACAGACGTTTTATAAAAGGCTACGCCACCATTGCCGCTCCCTTGACCGACTTATTGCGAAGAGACCAGTTCAAGTGGTCTGATAGTGCTACTGAGGCTTTCCAGGAGCTCAAAAACTCACTAACAACAGCTCCAGTATTATGTTTGCCCGACTTTGGATTGGTTTTCATCGTGGAGACAGATGCATCTAATGTCGGCATTGGAGCTGTTCTCATGCAACAAGATCACCCAATCTCTTACTTCAGTAAAAAGATTGGGCCGAAATTGCAGCACTCCTTTACCTATGTACGGGAGCTTTATGCTATCACCGAAGCTGTCCGTAAATGGCGTCTGTATTTACTCGGAAATTCTTTCATCATACGAACAGATCACAAAAGTCTGAAGGAGCTTTTTCATCAAGTGGTCTTGACTCCTGAACAAAACAAATATGTCAATAAACTGTTGGGGTTTGATTTTCAGATTGAGTACAAACCGGGCAAGGATAACGGTGCCGCTGATGCTCTATCCCGTGTCCATGAACAACCAAGTTGTTTATTGATTGCTTCTAGACCAGTGCCTGAATTTTTGGAGCTGTTACGCGATGAAAATGCCACTTTAGAGGATATGCGCAAACTGCATGCTCAGTATGATGCAGGAAACCTCTGTCCAGCGTATACACGGAATAACGGCATACTACTATACAAAGCGAGGTATTATCTCAGTCACAATTCATCATTAATTGATAATTTACTTCATGATTTCCACTCTTCCAAAGCTGCTGGACATGTTGGTGTCAAGCGCACACCGGTGAAACTCGCTGCAACTTTTTATTGGCCCAACATGCGTGACACGGTGGAAAAGTATGTAGCTTCATGTCTCATATGCCAACAAACGAAGTATCTCACGAAAGCACCTGCTGGACTCTTACAACCTCTCCCAATTCCAGAACAAGTCTGGAATGAGCTAACTATGGATTTTATCGTTGGGCTGCCGCCGTCACACGGGTTTTCTGCCATTATGGTGGTAGTTGATCGGCTCACGAAATTTGCTCACTTTGGTGCACTCCCTGCAAAGTTCAACGCCATCCGGGTTGCAAATTTATTTGTTGATACTGTTGTTAAGCTGCATGGCTTCCCGAGCATCATCATTTCAGATCGAGATCCTCTCTTTCTTAGCCAGTTTTGGGAAAAGTTATTTGAGTTGAGCGGGTCTAAGCTGAAACATAGTACTGCATATCACCCTCAGACGGACGGCCAAACCGAAGTGGTTAACAGGGGCCTTGAGCAATATCTACGTGCATTTGCCATGGAAAAACCTACTGCTTGGGTTGAGTTCCTGAGCTGGGCAGAATTTTGTTACAACACAAGCTATAATGACAGTATCAAGATGACTCCTTTCCAGGCTCTATATGGTCGCACTCCTCCGGTGATACCTCGTTACACTGCCAACTCAACTAATATTCATGCTCTTGATGCCTTGCTAACTGAACGCGATACCATTCTACGGTTCTTGAAGCAGTCCTTACAGCATGCACAAAATCGTATGGTCCAAAGGGCTAACAAACACCGTCGGGAAGTTGAGTTTCAACCTGGTGATTTGGTTCTCTTGAAATTGCAGCCTTTCCGCCAAAATTCTGTCGCCCAAAGGTGTTCTCACAAGTTGTCAAAACGTTAT